CTCGGAGCACCCTTGGCCAATTGGCAACGGCTGTGGGCGGAACCGCCCGGCTGGCGACCCACCCCCAGCACGGTGAGACGGCTTTCCATTGGGTGAAGGCGCGTGACGCACAGGCTACAGGCCACGTGGTGGTGTTTTCATTGCCAGAGCTGCGGGGCGGAGCGGGAGAAAGGAAGAACGAGTGCAGCTGGGGCAGGGCTTGCTGGCTGCAATCCCGCATCTGCGTCGCCGACGCGGCAAAGGAGACAGGCAGACGCGCTGGTTCTGACTCCACCCAACCTCCTGTCCTTTTTAACACTTACAGAGTTCAGTAGAGAGCGTTAGACGCTAAAGCCCCACCCTCTTGTAGAGTCGTCAGGCTGCTTTTGAACTTTCTACTGTGAGGATGCTAAGACCAGATAGATAGGAAGTTGTCTTATCCATTGCCCTGCCATTGAGAACTCTCACTATATGTCAAGCACTGTATTCACTATGTATATTATCTCGTTGAATTCTTGTAAAAGTTTGTGAAGAAAGTATAATTATGCCCAATTTAAAGCTGCAACTGAAACACAGAACTGCTGAACAATTCTGTCTGAAGTAACAGGGTAAGTGGTAAAATGTAGATTTGTCTGATTTCAAGACCTGTGCACCAAAGGACACTGCTCCACAGTATTTAGCAAAGCCTATCTGATCTGTAGCTGAAAAAAATGAAAGAAAATGTGTATAGGATGGTGTATTTTATGAAAGAGATGACATCTTGAAGACCAAGGACAGTTAAAAACTCACATAATTCTAGACGAATCCTGACAAAGGGTCTCTCTTTCCAAGCTAAGTACATGTTGCCATGTAGAAAGAACAACCCAGTTTATGAATCACTAACTCTGCTAGTTTGGGATTTATATGACGAATTTTTAATTCTTGCTTTTTCACATTTTGAGATGATATTTTTATTATTGTTAAACTGGAATAATTCACATAATTCAGATTTTCTATTTTGTGACAAAGCTATATTTTTTTGGAAACTTGAGCCTGCAGCAGGTGAGTGGAGATCAATATTTCACTTAAGCTTTTCCAGTTGATTTCTGGTTTTGGTTTTCTGAAATGCAAATATAACAGTTTCTTCTTTCAATGCTACTATTCTTTCTTTCAACTGATGTAAAAAATAGCTCAACTCATAGATATGCAGATGTTGATTGCTCTTTAGTTGATTGTGAGGTGTTGTATAAATCATCTTATGTGAAAAGAATTGCTGTTTGGATGCCTTAACTGCATCATCCTTGTAACAGCTCAGATCAAAGGTGCTTTTCCTCCCCTCTCCCAGCTCAGGCAAATGCTGCAGTCCTTTTTGTTCTATTTAGAAAACCAAGAGCCTCACATGCTAGGTGCTAGAATTACACAGTGTGCACAATAGGTTTTTTAAAGTGGAAGCTGTTATTACCAAGAATTTGGACTTTATGGGGTAGAGTTGGGAGCTGGTGTTAGGTTTTGAGCAGGAGTGTTTCATGATAAAAACAGTGTTTTAGGCAGATAAACTCGGCCAGGGTGTGCAGAACAGATTAGAAGGGGGAAAAGCCTAGACTAATGTGAAATTTTCAGAGTGAAGGGATGTGAGAAACTAGTATATTGGATGGCAGTAAGGCCAGAAAGGTTAGGAAAAACCCGAGATATTTTTTTCTTGAAATGTATTTGACGTATAACATTGTGTAAATTTAAGGTTCACAACATGCTGATTTCATACATTTATATATTGTAATATGACTGCCATTGTAGTGCAAATTAGCACCTCATCATGGACACACCAAGAGATACTTAGAAGCAGGGCTGTCTGATAGAAAGATAATGTGAGACACAGATATGAACCCATATATAATTTAAAATGTTCAAGGTATATATAATTTAAAATTTTCTAGACCCCATGTTAAAAAAGGGTAAAAAGAAATGGGCAAGTTAATTTTAACACTATATTTAACCCAATATGTCAAAAGTGTCATTTTAATAATAATAATCATGTAAAATCATTAATCAGCCAGTTTAAATTAGCATTATCTTTTAGTGTAGGTATTTAAAATCCAGTGTGTCTTTTTCACTTACAGTGTATCTCCAGTCACACTACCCACACTTCAGGCGCTCATGTGGTTAGTAGCTTTCTTGTCGCCCATTGACATTTTGAGAGCATAAACCGCAGGGCATGGTGACTGGTGGGGAAAGGGGTGGCTGGTGGGGAAAGGGGTGATTGGCAGGGGGGAAGAGGGAATACTTAAAGCTGATTCCATGGTTAAGAGGCCCATCCGGCTGCTTTCAGAAACCAGATGTTTGGCAGGAAGACTCATGTAGTTTCAGATATGTTGTGGTAGTGGAGCTGAAGGCTCACTGGAGTTAAGGTCCAGGCTTAGAGATGCAGATATGGGAGAAAACAGATCACCTTCCCAGCCCTGGTTTTTCCTGTGAATGATGTCCCTTGTGTGTATGCTCCTGGGCTAATGTTTCATGATCCATTAACGACCCATGTGGAAGTAACATCCCAGGGCTGCCTCATCTGGTTTTATTTTCCCCAAGACACTACAGAAGTCTGTATTTTATGTACGTTTATATTTATATAAATGTTAATTTTTACATAAACTTATATTTTTATGTAAAAATTGTCAATGTTGACAACTAATTCTTACCTTTTAAAAAAAAAACAGCAGATGAGCCAAACTAAACACACCAGCTGGCTGGATGTGGTTTGTGGAGGGCCAGTTTGTGGCCCCATTGTGCCTTTCTTAGAGGCAGAAGCAGCCACTTCGAGAAGTTCCACCCTCAAAAAAAAAAAAAAAATCCCAGAACTCCATTTATATAAAAAGCCAAGGAAAAGGTTTTAAATATATTCAGAGGTGCTGAATTCATTTGATGTCAGGCTGGTTTTTCTTTTTCTAAGTCCTAGTTCTCGTTTTGGGTTCTGCGGGAGTGGAAACTCCTGATTTGAATATTGGGCTTGTGGCATCATAACCTTCCACATTCTTAGCACAGCGATTTCAAGGCTAAATGACAGAAGCAATGTGGGGGATATTGGGTGAGGGGAGGGAGAGAATACAACAGTTTATGGAAACGGTAACAAGATTTTTGACTTTTTCTCCTTTTCCCAGTTGGAATTCCCGAGTGTCCATCTTTTCCCAGATACAACACCTCTCATTTTTAGGGAAACATAAGTCAGCAAAATCTTGGGAGAATTGAGCCAGGGTCTAGGAATCAAGCATCCTTGGTAATACAAAATTGTAGGCCACAGTTCAGCTAACGGGAAGACTTCTTCTTTGTGTCAACAATCAGGTTGTAATTTTGAGATGCTGATCAGGGTGTGCACGAGGCATTTACAGGGGAAGTTGGAAATGAGACATCCTGTCTGAGGCAACCCCTCTGTCACCCAATATGGTTGCCCGTAACACCCAAAGGTCTATAATTAGAGTAACTACTAGGTGAGCAAATACCATGGCTGCCTGCTGCTGCTTTTTATAAAATCCATTCTATTTTTATAAAATCAAGTCACAGGAAACAATCTCCTTTTTCTTTTCTGATGTGTTTCAACACTCTGAATGCGGGCTGAGAAAAAAGTAGAACCATAATGGATAAGTGTGTGTGGCAGTACTTTGAGAAAAGGGTAAAAGACAAGGGGCAACACAGAATACGAAAGCCTCGGGGTGGTGGGCGAGGGGGGCAGGTGGTGGGCCACAAAGTGAAGGAAGCTCAGGAAGTCAGCCCCACGGTTCTAGGTAGGGGAGGAGGGGTTGGGCTGTAGGGTGATTTCTGGGAAAGGAGACTGTCCCGTGGGATCGGCAATCAGGAAGTCCCCAGAAGGCACAACTGGACTTTTTTTGTTTAAACTAATCATATGCACCGTCTGTGTGGGAGAGCATGGCTGCAGTGAATGAACAGCCCCTAGAATGTGCCTTTGTTCCCCAAAATGGAACCTTTATTTCTGGTTTCATTGATTAAAAAAAAAAAAAGGAAGGGCAGGGAGCAAAAACTAAGAGCCATTCTAATATTCCTTGACTTACGTATTTCCTCTCCAGGATAAGAAACTATGATGTTTCACTGAAGAATGAGCTGGTGTCTTTGTCTTCACCCCCTCTCCCCGATCTGTCTTATTTTTGCTTCCAGAATAATCATCCTAAACCACCAAGGCAGATCACATGTTCTCCATCAATAAATGCTTGCTGACAGACTGACATTCACAAAGATGGTAGCTTTCTATGTATGCATTTGCAGACATACCTTGGGCTCCTGGTCTATTATTTAAGACAATATAGGAAGGTTCGATTCATGGAGTTTCTGTTCACTTGGACATCTTAAGAACAGCTGAGATTACAGACATGGGTCATCAGGTCAGCTGATCACCCCAACTTAGGTATTAGAGTGTAGATATAGGTGGTATCTGGAAATGGAAAACAAAGCTTTCTATAAAGTTTGTCTTGAAGCCTCTTATATCGTCTCATTTAGTGCTCACTGTATCTGTCCCAACCCAAGGATTTTATCCCCATCACGTAGCTGTGTGAAGCAAACTTGGGATGTGTTGGGTGCATTTATAAAGATCTCGCGATCTCAAGGCAGTGTGTGCTGGAGATGGTGTTTGCTCTGAGCTCCCTCCAG